AGCTAGGTTGCATGGTAGCTATACAAAGCAAGTCATGGATGACCCAAACAACCAAAATCAGACCTTAAAATACCAAAACATGTATAAAAACTTCATAAAGCTAAGCCAAAATCATGCTAGAAAGTCATGGTACATCATGATGCATGTTAAGGCATTTTCATGGCATTACAAGACAAGTATGCAAAGCATGCATGGTATGTCTAAACCAACTTAAAACAGTGCTATATCATGACAAAATAAGCATAAATACCAGCTGAAATGAAGCTAAAGCAAGCTAGGCATACAAGCTACAACACAAGCCATTTGTGCAAGCATCAAAGGCAACATGGAGAGGGGATGACCCTCTCCCATTTAGGACCTCAAAACCACCTCTCCACCACTGAAAATCCTCTGGATTTTAGTGGTAGAGAGGTCATGCAAAGTTCAAAGCGAGGGCCAAAAGGAATGGCCTTAAACAAGGCCTAACAAGGCCTTAGAAGGGGGAAACAACCCCAAACCTCAAAGAAACGTTAAACAAAGTTCTCAAATACACAAAATCAGAACTTTATTAGTTATACACTAAGCTCAAAAACAGATGCAAGATAGGTCAAAAGCTTGTGCAAAAATAGGGAATAAAGGGGTAAGGTTCTTACCCTTGATGACCTTCTTCAGGAAGACCACTCCAGCAGCCTCCTTAGGTCAAAACCAGCTCAAAAACTCCAAGAACAACCCTTTGGCACCTTGGCAACCAAGGTATGGTGTAATACTAGGTGTCTTAGTGCAAAACTAAGAACAAAACAACCTTTAACACACACAAATATGCAAGGAGAGAGAGATATAGAGATAGATAGATACAAATATCCTAACCCTAATTTTCAGACCTCTGGAATTTTTTTGGAACCCTTGAGGAGGGAGGAGAAGCCCTCCCTTTATAGGAATTCCAATCTTGCAAAGCTTACAAAACAAGCTAAGCAAGAGGGAAATCCCTCCATACACGTGTATGGAGTGTATGGAGGAGAGGCATTGTGGATGCCAGCTATCACAACTGGCATAAAATATCTGCCAAAAGCAGATGAACAATGGTCGGCCAGCCAAAGATGATAGATTGACCAAAACAATGGTCGGCCGACCATAAAGAGTGCCAACCGGCCATCACCAATGGCCGGTAGCAACAAAACAGGGCCGGTGGCCTGAAGTCATGGCCGGTGAGGTGTGGGGATGACCAACAAGCCATTCCCTGCCCTCAGAAGCAAAACAACAAGTTTTTGGTGCAAAACCAAACACAAAACAAGCAAGTCGAGAGATCCTAAGGCAAGACGCGTAGCCGAGACTTCCGAGAACTCAAAATGAACACGAACATGGATGATCACCGAGTGTTCAAACGGTGACGTCCAAGTCTTGAGGATGGTCAAAAATGGAGTGTCTACATTTATAAAAGAGGGGTTTTCAATGTTTTGAGTCAAATATGTATTAGGGACTTGAAATTGGGGTTGTTTATGAATTATGAGTGAAGTTTGGCCTTGGGAACAACATTTGAAAATAGAGGAATTAATGCCCTAATTATGTTGAATAATTAATTTGAATAATTAATTTGGGGAAATGTGAAATTCAATTGAAAATCACGAAATTGGATGGGATTGCAGTTGAATGGTGTAGTTGGATAATTTAATCACTCACCTGTGAGAATGTCGATGTTTTATCTGTTGATAAATTTATTATCTGTTTAGAGATAACTGCTTTGGGCTATCGGTGGAGGATAGTCTTGATTGTTGTAGACACTGTATGTTGATTAGGGAAAACTGAAACTAATCACATTGAATATGATGGTTGGAATAATATATCAAATATGTGTATTGATTAATCCTTGTATATGATGAGTGTTTATATGCTTGGAATATGTGTATTGTGTGGGAGGAGATAGGGGATGTACTCCACGATTTGAGAGGAGATAGGGGATGGACTCCTAAATCGGATATTTGGGAGGAGATAGGGGATGAACTCCACTGATACAGCAAATCTGTGTATCACTTAAATTATGGAAGTGTTGAAGTATGGAACTGTTTTAATATATGCTTATATGCTTTAATTCATTGTATGTGTATATTGTTTGGGAGGAGATAGGGGATGGACTCCATGATTTGAGGGGAGATAGGGGATGGACTCTCAAACCTGTTTGGGAAGAGATAAGGGATGGACTCCATTAATACAACGAATATGTGTATTAATTGAAGTATTGAAGTGTTTTTATATGAGTCGTAGTCTCATTGAATTGTGGTTATTGGAAGTGTTGTTATATGAGTTGTTATCTCATTTAATTGTTTGGCCAGATTCTGAACCATGTTTACGAATTGAATTGGTTAAGTAAAGGATAGTGGACTGAAACATATACATAATTGTCATGAAATTGTAATGGGTTGTAAGTTGGTTCACAAGTGTTAGCCATTTATCATCTGCTAATATTTTAGTTATTGCTCACATCTGGTCTAGTATATCTCTACTGGGCATTGGCTCACCCTATATGGGACATCATTTTCAGGTTCAGGTGATATGCCACCTCCAAGGACATAGCTTGGGAGGCCTAGAGGCTGAAGATCCACTTTTGTTGTTTACCTTTTTGTATATTACATGTAAATTCAAGCCGAGGGCTTAATGTGTATGATTTAGTACTCTCTTTTGTAACCATGTGTTGGCTTGGAAGGTTGTAAGCCCGTAGGGCATTTACTTTTGTTGTTAACATGTAATACTTTTGTAATGAATACTCTGATAAATGGAAAAATGCTTTATTCTCTTATGTCTATGCATGTCAAGAATGTGAGTTTTTATGTATTATTTTGAGGGCGTTACAAGGATGGTGTGGATGTCATACACATGATAATCACACATCCTACCCCCCCCCACAATAAAAAACAAAAGGAAAAAATAACAAATACATTACCGTCAACGAACTCAAAAAATGCTACACCATGGACTACACAACACAACAAACGACTACACAAAACTAAAACCACCCTTCGAACACCTTGCCTCACACTTCCTCCGCGCAATATTCAAATACTGATGAACCTTGTAATCCCTATAAATCTGCCAATATATAATCTTCCATAATGTGCGCACCAAACCCACGTAATCAAAGGGATTCATATCAAACCCTCCCAAAAGCGTTTTCAAATACCAAATATAAAAGGGTACAAACGTCAGAAACACCACCCCACAAAACTGAAATGGATCATGCTGAACACAATACGCAAAAAAAGGGACTCCCACGTGTATTATTCTAAAAGGAGGACTAAATGGACTAAAACTCTCCCAAATGAAATTTTCCAATAATTTCCCCCCCCTTTTTTTTTACCTTTTCTCTTCTCATTATAAAATTCTACCTCAATCAAAATTGAGGATGAATATTGTTATAATTTATTTAATTCTTAAGTATTTTTTTTATATTAAAAAAATAAGTTTATTTTTTATTTAAGTTTGTGCATAACACAAGAAATATGTAACGCCCTCAAAATAATAACAATAAACCCATCAGATAAGACATGCATTTACATTTAAACTAACTGCATTCCTTTCATTCATTAGAATTCCAAGATGTAAGTATTACATGTTAACCTCATAACAAAATGCCCTACGGGCTTACAGCTTTCCAAGTTAACACTTGGTTACAACAAAGAGTTCTAACTCGTTTACACATTAAGCCCTTGGCTATACAAGTTGCATTTTGCACAATTTTTAAAAAAAATTCAGGTATGGTGAAAACTAAAGGTGTAACGTATCAACATTTTATTTTACAAGACGTGAAGTGAAAATTTTACAAAATTATGTGTAAAGTGCAATTTTTAAATTATGAGAACAAAATGCAACTTTCTTAACTAAAATTTATAGCACGAAGGGTCACTACTAATCATGTTTTTAGGGGAATAATAAACGAAAAAAATAATAATAATAATAATAATTTGAATGCAAAGGGATACAAGTAAAAACTGCGTCATTTTTGTATAATCTTACTTACACCGAGCACACGTCTCAACAGAGTCTGTTGATTTGCAATTTTTTTGATTTACCTTCTATCTAATATTCTCCTAAATTTTTATTGGGTAAACCACATTGAGATTTAGTAAAAATGTAAAAAATTCTACAATTTTAATATAATTACACCATGCTTCCTTTCAATTTAAAATGAAAAGACAAAATAACCTTCACCAACACTACTCGCTTTCTTCATCCTACTGACTGTTATTAGAAAAAAAAGAAAAGAAAAAAAGAGAAGCAATATCTTAAAAGACAAAACCACGAGTAAGATCAACCTATTGAACACAAATCTAACCACTGGCCTTACAGGACAACTGTCTTTCTCAACTTTGACGTTGTCATTTCTTTTTTTGGCACTCAGTCAAATCAAGGTTTTAAAATTTTTGACCATATTGCCCTAAACTCTATTCTTTTTAAGTCATAAGTACAACAATTTAAAAAATCACATTACTCCTTCCTACCAAACTAGCCCCCGCCTATTTGTCCACATGTCTATATTACCGCTGCCGGTAGCTGTTGACTTCTGACGCTAATGACTTTTCCGGTGACTCTCCAGTGATAGCGAATTTTCCAACTCACCGAGAACAATCGACAATAATTAGTGATTAACAATAATGTGTGAGTGTAACAATACAATTTTTACTTCTCACTAATATATTTCATTAACCATGTCCTTCGAATCAAAACAGAACAATCACTGCACTTAATGTTATATATATCCATAAAAGTGGACTTTTCACCAATTTTTCATTTTTTTTTTCCTTTTAATTGAAAGAATAGTATCATAGTCATGTTTCATTCAACAGAGCATGATATCAATTACAATCCTACTAAAAGTGAACATCCAACCAACTTCTTACACTCATTTCATGTCAAAATGTTTCATACTATAAATGTACTTATTATTCTGTGCAAATTTATATATGTAACAGAGTCTGATAATGGAACAGGAAAAGGAGATGTCCGAGAGAAAATTGGTGGACTCATCACCCTTTTTTTTTTCGTTTTAATTGAAAGAATAGTATCATAGTCATGTTTCATTCAACAGAGCATGATATCAATTACAATCCTACTAAAAGTGAACATCCAACCAACTTCTTACACTCATTTCATGTCAAAATGTTTCATACTATAAATGTACTTATTATTCTGTGCAAATTTATATATGTAACAGAGTCTGATAATGGAACGGGCAAAGGAGATGTCTGAGAGAAAATCATCATATGGGATGGGTGAAAATCACATTCATCAACAACAAATCAAGAATTTAGACCTCGTAATCTATACCAGCCACCCAAATCAAATGAAAAAGTTCATTACCTCAAACTGAGTCTTAATTTAGCAGCGTCATCGTCGATGCTCGAGTGGGTGAAGCCACATAGTAAGAGTTTTCTTCCACTTTATTGGCTTTCAAAATGGGAGAAATTTTGAAATGTTGTTTATTCGAATCAACATCACAAAAACAAACAAGCTAGCGACGCCCATTTGCCCAATGCCTGTTGTGATTTCCAGGTCTCATGTGAGGATTCCTAGGGCCAAGCCCTTGCTTCGGGAGATCCTGCAATTCCATGACCTGGATAGTTCTTTGTCTCTTTGCTGTCAAATAGAAGAACAATCACCATCAGATAAAAATAATTTCATTATGTGTCTCTACTGAAAGTTATTTTGATGAAAAATAAATCAAATACGGAAAGTAAAATCCAAAATATGGTAAGAATAAGTTTGGAGCAGATACCATTTTCAGCTTGTTGGTAGCGCTCATGGAGCTTCCTCTTTGCGGCTTCAAGTTTTGCAGCATCATCCAAACACTTCGGTTTCTAATTGAACAGCAAAAATAGATCAAAATGAATGATCCAAGCAGCAAGCTATTTGACATCTGTACAGGTGATGTTGTTTTAAATAACAGTATCGATGACACAGTCATATATATATCAGTCAACATCGGACAGAATCGGCCGATCTATCAATGAATAATGGTATGGGAAGTCCAAAATTCCAATACGTAACAGCAGATATTTAAAAATGATGGATTTTCCCAATACTCACATCTTCTTGAGCAGCTAGTGGCTTCTTTTGGATTGTGATCGGCCTGTTTGAGTTTTGCTGGGATTTTGTCTCATTGCTGACCTTTTGCTCCATGTTTAATTTTGTCAGCCTCCCAGGGCCAGACTCGGTGTTCAAGGGCTTATGTGGTTTCACAACAGCATTTGGTTTCTTCATTACAGGTTCTTGATTCTTCCTTTCTTCACCCTTCTTGTCCGTGGCAGGTACATACGGTTCATGGGGAACTTGCTGCTTCCACTTGGGAACAGTTTGATTCGCCATTGATGGGTTTCTGCCATTTTCACGGTTCTTCTTGAATTCCCCACTGTTTCGAGGATCTAAAACAACATCCCCATTTAAAAATCATGAATCTCTAAGAAAGTGGGGAATTCAAACAAAGAACCGAATAGCAAAAAGCTTTATAAGAAAAGCATAAAGGATCACAAATTCAACTCACTTCCATCATCATCTATGCCATCGAAGAACTTTGGTAAGCGCAATTGAGAAAGACAGAAAAAGAAGCAAAATGTGTCAGTCTCTAACCACAAAAGGCTAATAAACTTATTTCCTTGAGAAAAAAAAGAAATGAACACACACACCCCACACCCCACCTGGGGAGCTCTATTGTGCTTATTAAGAAAAGCTCCTTCGTCTAATGGAGGAGAAGGGAGGCCTTCTTCTTCTTCATCAACAACAGATGGGTTTACAGACTCGGGGGTACCTTCTGCATCTATGAAAATATAAATATTTTTAGAACTCAGTTTCAGTCAAGAACGAAATGAGAGAACAAAATATACTTAAGTGGACAGAAAAGGTGTCAGATGACAAAGGAATCGAGCAAATTTGATAATTTAGATTTTAGGAATTCTATTTACATTAGAACATTAGGTAGGATTTAATTATTTGGAGTTTCATAATTATTAGGTAAGATATATTATTTGAGGTGTGCTATATTTTGAAAGCTCTTAATTAGGGTTTTGGTTGCCTATAAATAGGCTAGTATACAGTAGGGTTTGACGGCTTTGAATGATAAATTGAATTGAGAGTTCTTTTTTTTTTTTTTTTTTTTTTTTTTTTTTTTTAATTATTGTTTGAGGGTTTAGTTTATTTCCTTTGTGTCATTTATTCTGTTCTCTTTTTTGGTTTTTTTTTTTGGAACAGGAAAGGATGCTCCGTGGGAACATCATAACATCTGTGGGCCTTGGCACTGGACCCGGAGTAACCGGTTGCCGGATTTAATCCAACTCATAAAAAGGGACCCACCACTAGGGCACACAAATTGACCTCACCTACCCGCCACACAGGAGGCAGAGTGTCAATTGGAGTACAGCACGATGAGCCGAAGCAAATTGGGAACATGCCACCCCCACCCCCCCGCGAGAATCGATCCCTGCTTGGCTGGGTGGAGGGGAGATGCGTAATCCACTGGGCCACCACCCCCAGTGGTATTCTGTTCTCTTTGATATCCTTGTTCTTGATTCGGTGGTCCTACATCAAATGCATATATGCTATATCTATCAAAAGCTAATTCTTGACAAAAGCTACCTGCAATAGCCGCTGTAGCAATGACCCACGCATCTACCATATCTTTCCACACTCTGCAATTAATGATCGTGCAGTTAGAAACAAAAAGAATATGCCATACTGATCTAATATAACAAATTGAAAGTTCGTGAGTACATTTAGCTATAACTGGATAGAAAAAGGGAATTAATTAGCAGCATTCTTACCAAACATTCCACTAACACGTAGAGGAATCATATTGGCAGCAAAATGTTAGATGACTTGTTTAACACAGACAAAGGATAATATAATAACCCAAGATTTCCACAATTCATATGCTTTCAAAGAAGCTGAATTTGATAACGGTTGTTTATGGCGATCAGCATAGAAAAATAGAACTTCTTAAACTAGCACTGTTTCTATTGTACAAGGATAAGCTGAAAAATGTTTGAATGAAGCAATTCTTATCATCAAAATTGTCATCATCTTCATCATAACTATAGGAATCATCAGCACATCTATAAGGAAATCGAAGTCTAAGTAGTATAATTCCCTGCTGATAATCGTGATAAGACATAAAAAGAAAGGACTGGCTTAGCAAGAATGCTGCTGATTAAAGCAAACAGAATTATCAGTACCACCAAATTCACAAATTTGGAAGAAAATAACATATCAGCACATTTAAACTATGTAGATTCTTTGTTGGTAAACTTAACCATACAACAATAAATTCACATAAGTTCATCCATCAAATGACCAAATCTAGAACATAAAATAATGCCTAGCAAGAGGAAAGAATTACATACTCGATGAGCGTCCGTGCAAGATGTCGAATCTGCTTCGATCCGTGTTTCCTCAGAGCATTAACAGACTTTCCAATCTCTGTGGCCTGTGTTATAACGAGTAATGCAATTCAATTCACTACCCTCATAGTAAACAAAAACTAATGGGAAAAAAAAATTGCAGCCAAAAAAAAAACAAGAGTGTTCATACCTTCAATGTATCCACAGACAAAACCATCAATTGAAGCCTCCTCAGTGAATCAAATAATACTGAATCAGACTGTCACAAGAAAGTAAAAAGCTTGAAGGGCTCTCTATCTTTACCAGATAAGTGTAACAATAACCAAATAATTTCCCAAATAACATAAAACAATATTCAAACAAATTCAAATCCAATCTCCCAAAAAAAATAAAAAATAAATAAATAAATAAATAAAAATAAAATAAATAAATAAATAAATTCAACAGAATTGCAAAAATCAAAGATTTAATCATATGCTGCTTGGCAATAACAGACCAATCTCCCATTTATCAGTCAAAGTTCTTACCAAAAAAAACAAAACACGTTCAAAAGCAACAAAATACAGAAATGAAAATTGAATTCACATAAAAGAGAAAGATTCAGTAGAAGTTATGAAGATAAACCTCATCTTGACGATTATCAATAATCTTTTTGATCCTCAAGACCTCCCCAAAAATCTGACTCTCTTCTTCAATATCATCAGTCAATGCCTCAGCTTCTCCATAGCTGTAATTGCTCACTGGGTTGAAATTCATTTCAACCTGATCATCTCTACTACTATTCACCTTGCTCTCTTTACCACCACCATTCTCAAATTCACATCCATTTTTCTCAAACCCACTCTTACAACCTTGGTCCTCATCCTCTACAGGAACTTTCAACTCCACGCGTTCACACCCGACACACCGAATCAATTTACATGAAAACAAAGTTACTGCAATTCGATCTCTCCGCAATCTGAACTCCTGTGGACAATCCGAAGCAGCAACAATAATTGCGTTCTCGATTATATCGAATATATCAAAATTGGAGGTTCGAAAATAGTCCCTCCAGTTGTCCAGGGTTCTAGATTTAATGACCATGGTTGAGAAATCAACCTCTGAATCGAATCCGGACCAACCCAGATCGGAAAATCGAGTTTCCGCCAATACCCAGAAATCAGAATTTGATTTTCGTCTGATTTTGATGATGCCCAGAAACCAAAAACTCGATTTTCATACACAATTTTTTTGTTTTTTTTACTCTCAGAAATATTGGTGGTTGGTAATTTATTTATTTTTTTGACGAATCGATTACGTCAGAGAGAAAAGACTTGTGATATGATCGTCACAGATGATGAGATAAAACCAATTTCAGTTTGAAAAAAACAGGTACTCTCTTGAGAATTATGACAAATTTTCCAAGAAAATACAAAATCGATTAAAATTTTTCTAGGAGGAATCTATGTGCTAATTCCAGAAATAATAAGAAATTCAAAATCAAAAGAGAAATCGATATGCTAATTATGGCAAAGAAATAGTGAAATACAGGGAAGGAAAATAACTCTCAGGATTCTCTCTCTCTCTCTCTCTCTCTCTCTAGGAACAAAACCAGGTGCTGCTGAGAAAAGACGAGAAAATTGAATTTGGGTTTTAGATAGCGAACAAGGAGGGCAAGTGATGGAAAGGGCACAAACAACGGATTCGCAAAAAGTTCAACTTCCAATTGGTTTCACGTTACCCGGTTTTGAACCCAGAGAGAGAGAGAGAGAGAAGAGTTATTCTTTTTTATTTTGATTTGAAATTTTTTTTTACTATCACTATTTATTATAGAATAAATTATGATATTTTTGGGTCTTTTTACTTGAAAATTTTTGGACTTAGACTTTGTTGAGTCACAATTCACACCAAGAGAAAGAAAGTCGGGAATTGAAAATTTCTATAATACACACTTTAAAAACTAGATATTATATATATTTTGATAATTAGATAATCGGATCAATTTATGTACATATAAATTAATTTTAAGAGATCAATTTCATCGTTCAATTACGGAGGATTTCATTTAAAAATAAAACAAGTGACCTGGGGCCCCAATGTGCTAATTTTATTACCACATTCCAAGTTGTACCGCTAAACCACCCCTGAGATTAATAAATATATCATATCTTAATTGTCAAAAAAAATTATGGTACACACCCTTTAAATAAACATTTTATTATGCATTTTTGTTATGCATATTGTATATTTTTGTGATAATGTCATAATTGTTTTCAAAGAGTTACGATAATTTGTAATTTAAAAATAAAGTTATACATTTTTATATTAATAAAAAAATATGCAACATCACTACAAAAATGTGTAATATAACTATAAAATGTGTAACTTCATTTTTTAATCCAAATGTTTAACTTTATCATAAAAACACGTAACATTTGTTACAAAAATACAAAACCAAAAATATATAATAAAGGTCTACATAGTAGACACATAACATGACCCCTTAAATGCTATTTTTTTAATAATATTTTATTATAATTTGTTGTGATATTAGTTTTGACTTGATTATAATTTAATTTAATATTGGTTATAATAATGTAATGAGACCGTTATTTTGACTATAATTAAAGAATTTTTAGTTAAGCATTAAGCATTGTTTAGTTATGATCTATTATGCCTCCGTTTGGGAAGTGGGTTAGCTTTTTGATTTTTTGACTTTTTTGACTATTTTAGCCTGAGCTTAAAAGCTTGGTTTGGGAAGGACTTTTTGGCTTTTTGACTTTTTTGAGTTTTTTGGTGAGAGAAGAATGTAATGATTATGGGTTGAATGTGATGTTTTGTTTGTTATGGTTAAAATAGCCTATTTTGTTTTTTGTGGCTAAAATAGCCAAAAAAAAAAACCCCCAACTTTTGCTTCCCAAATGAAACCTTAGTTGCCTCCGACAGTTCGTTCACAATATTATAATACACAATTTATATTATTTTATATTTATTTATTTAATACATATTTATTTTCAATTCAGACTTTCATCCGTACACAATGAAAAACTAGCTGTTAAATATAAAAATTAAAGTACATAAAAAAATTTTATTTTTAATATTATGTATATAATCTGTGATTGTGTCAATAACTGATTTAGTATTGTTTCTTTATTTATATCGTTTTCTTATTTATATCATTTTCTAAATTATACCATAAATCTATTATATATACATGGTCTCTACCTCATGAATAAGCCAAATAATTCTTTTCATTCTTTTCCAGCCCCCCCAAACCGAATAATTCTTTTCATATCATTTTGTCATATGCCTATTGATTGAATGAGTTATCTCATTTATATATGTTATTAATTCAATAATAACATATTATATGGTAACCAAATTATGATATATAAACACGATTATTGTAGTATTATTCCAAATATTTTATATAAAATTAATACATAATGACATGACAATTTAGCAAATTATAATTTTATCATTTTAAAGCAAAAGACTTGTTGAAGTAGTTCATATTTTCAAGTCTTGATGACTACATTTTCCTGTCATGCTTTGTTTACCATTAATCTCATATATCAATACTACATTGATAACAATCATGAGTGATGAGACTCATTAATCTAATACAATGTTAACACATAACATGATCAATAATATGTTGGTAAGGAAATATGATTATCTTAACATTATTTTCCTCATAAATTAATATAATACATGAGATTGAGTAACTATTTAGCAAAGTGCAGATGACAAACTCGTGTTAAATTTCTTTTATCTATTAATGAAGTTCTTATTTTTGTTAAAAAAAATAAAATTAATAAATAAACCGGGCCTAGAATTTTAGCCAATAAAAAAAAGATCAAATGCATTTAAAATTGAATTAAGCTAATGATTCATGTGTATTCTTTGCCTCCCTTAATTTCTGTATAAATTGAACACATTCACTCATGTGTATCTTTTGGCCTCCTTTAGTTTTGATTTTCTGCCACTGTCTGTTTGGTTTATAAATTTGGAAATTGTGGGAATCGAAAATAGGTTATACTTGAAAACGGCCAACAGAGCATCCAAACCCGTCTAAGATGGGCCAAATAAAGCCAAAGCCCACCAGACTACGTCATTGCCGAATAAATGTCTGAATAAACATAAAAATATCAAGGAGCGTCGAATTACAGGTACCTGTCCTGAACAACTGAGCCGAGTGTGTTGGGCGAGTCGGCATCCCCATTAAGTGGGACCAAACTGTCCATTTTAAGGAAGTATAGGAGGGAGATGAGCCCTGACAGAATGATAATAAAGGGTTAAACTGCATGGAGTAAAGATCGATGAGAATGACTCTATAAAAGGAGGAGAGAGACAAGAGAAACATGTATGTAAAAAAAAGGAACCTTGAATCTCAAGAAATCATAAAACACCAATCTTTCAACAGAGAATAATTTGACCGTCAGAGTGCTAATTTCGGCACCACCGTTTGGAGTTTTATTTCTATTTCAAGTGACAACTGTGAAGATCCTACAAGAGCTTGTTTGGTGAGAAGGAGTATTCCGTAACCACTTCCTCAGAGGAATGGATTGAAAAAGAAAAAAAAAAAAGGTGTAAAATATAGGTGAAATATAATTATCACATTTCACTTATATTTTTCTTTTCTCTTTTATTTTTATTTTTTATTTTTTATTTTTTATTTTTTATTTTTTATTTTTTATTTTTTTTACAAATCCATAGACTAATACAGTCTAAGGGTATTGTATGTTTTAAAAATGTTGTAATTGATAGAAGGGATAGAACTCACGATTTTATATTGGGTCACATGAAAATAACAAGAAATATAGTGTTTGATGATTGATAATAGTATTTGGTGATTAATGAGAGGTTACTAAATGGTGCTTTAGACTAGAGTTGTTTTGGGTATGATTTTTAAGTTGATTTTTTTTATTTATTATAAAAAAATGTGCAGAAAACTAAAAATATAATATAATCTATATACGCTAATAAACTAATAATTTGGTGTTGCCAAATAAATTTTCTATAATTACAACCATTATATATTGGGTTAAGTGTATTTTATGTTGGACATCTTAACTTGAGAAAGTGTTTGGATTCTATAAGCTCATTTTGAGACTGACTTCGGTGATTTGAACTATTCACCTTTAGGACTTGTTGAGTAAAATATTTATATAAAAAACTAAAATGATTAATTATCAGTAACTATAAGTTTAAATCAAATTTGTATTATAAAAAATAGATGATTATTCTTAAAATTATATTTGCAATGTCTAATTATCTTAATCTTTTATATAAATATTTTTCTTAATAAATTCTAAAAAATAAATAGTTTCAATTATCAAAATTAATTTAAAAAAATAAACTTATTAAATCTAAATTCTCTCTCTCAAATTAGGATGGTAGACTAAGAAAAGTAAAACCCTTATATATTTGTGAGTTTGATTGGATAGAAAGTCAGGGGCAAGCGGCAAAATTGGTGAAGATCTTTTATGACGTGAAACTGAAAGCTTAAAAAAGTCACACAAGCCGTTGTGGGATACTCAAAATGGTTTTGACCAGAGAAAAGTTCTCCCTGAAAAAGTAAAAAACATAACATATTCGCTCGTTCTCATTTGTAGTCTGCCTTTCTCCACTCATTATATTCGTTCGGTATTTAAATTGGAAGGTATGGTTTGAACTCCTTAGGTTTATAATTAGCGATGGCAATGGATAACCTATCATGTGGGTATCCATGGAGACCCAACCCAAATACATGGGTTTTTTCCTTTTTTCGTGTTCGTTAGGTAGGGTAAGTGAACTTTTTGAGCTTTTTGTAATTTGCTTCTTTGCTCGAGCGAGGTTTCTTGAGCTCAAGCGAGAATTGAGAGTCCTCAGATTTCTTTCTCAAACGCAAAATTTCTGAGAAGGTGAAGTGCTTCGCTCAAGCTAGGATTCTTGCGCTCGGGTGAGCATGTGCGTCTGTAAAACTTCTGAAGCTTTGCATTTTACGCTCGAGGGACGCTTCTTGCTCTTGAGCGAGGTCACTTATGTCTGGTCGCTCGAGCGAAGGTCGCGTATATCAGTTCACAGCAGGGTGATTTTATATCACTTTTGATCTTCTTTTTCCCTAAGAACCCTAATCTGACTCTCTCTCTATAAATACACCTTGATTTGGGGGTCTCTTAACCCTAGTTCCTTTGTCAAAAAGGTAGAGCACCTCGAGGGCTCCGTGTTGATCCGAATAGATCGTGGTGTCGGCTTGTTTGAAGTGTCTCCATCTTCTGCTTTGCTCTCCTAAGTTTTAAAAATAATTTCTTAATTGAGTTTTATTTTATGTGTTTAGTTATGATTTAAGTGTAGAGTTGTTTTTAAATTTAAAATATTGACATTTTAAATTATTTAAATTTTTTGAATATTTAAATTATTTAAATTTTTACGATTTAAAATTTTTGAATATTTATTTTAATTTTTACTTATTAAATTTTTTAAATTATTTAAATTATTTAAATTTTTATTATTTAAATTTTTTGAAAATTTATTTTGAAAAAAATTATTTCCTTTGTAGTATTTTCAATTAAAAAATTGATTAATGTTATTTTCTGTTAATAATAAATTTTTTTAATTGAATTTTAAAAGAAGTTTGGTTATGAGTGTTGATCAGAATTTTCAATAGTGTGAAAGTAGTGTGTTTTGTTATGAGTTATAATAATTTGAATTAAATTTTGAAAACTTTTTTCAAAACTCATAACCAAACAAATTTTCTTACTTCACATGTCAAATCATACTTTCAAAACTCAATTCCACACTCAATTCAACA